ACTCTTCTATGCTCTTTTTTTGTAATTTCTTGTCCAACCAAGGACCTCTCTTGTAATTACTCAAAGATTAACCTAATAAAAGTGTATTAGAGTGTTAGAGGGAGGTTTAGTTCGAACCTCTCATTCTCTAACCCTCCTTGCCGCAGCTCTCTCTCTCTCTCATTCTCTAATCTTCTCTTGTTTGTTTTTCTGGTTTTCTTGCACAGTCCCATACTTCTAGGGCTGCTTTTCAACTTCCTCTAATCCCTTCTCCTCTGAGATAGGAATCAAGACCAAACAGGACTATGGATCCTTCACTTCTTCGTCCACCATCCTCAGGAATCAGCACTAGTACCTGATCTGTATCCTTAGTCGAGTAAAATTCAGCTCCCAACTCCTTTGCATGTTTACTCTCAGAACTCCTCCCCATATTAAACTCAGATAAATCGAAGAGATCAAAGTAGCCTACTTCTGAAGCACACTGCTCCAAAATAATATGCCTGATAGAGATGCAATCAACAAACTCTCTCTCCCCCAAAGAGCAAAAAAAGTGTTTTCTTTACCTTTTTCTGAATGAGGCGAAGTGGAGACACCTCCCAGACATTTGTGAACCTTTGTCTATACACTTTTCTTCTACAAAGTCGTTCGATCACTTAGGTTTTCTTGGAAAGAATGTCACCTACAAGGATCTTTTGTGTTGGACTTAAGTATAACCGGTATGGACACTTTGTTACCTCAGCTAAGACTCCCATAACTCACACATGCCTTAACCAGAATTGATGAAACTTTAGCTAATGAAAATACAACCTTAGGCAAGTCAAACTGTTGGGTCCAGTGATCAATTGTTTGACTTTAATTTGTTGACCTTAATCTGCAGTCTTCATAAAACAGCTCCAAAGATGTGTCAAGAAAATAAACTTCTGCTCATCTGTTTTGGCTGAAACTTGGTGAGTATCTAGTGCCACAAGAGTGCCAACTTGTGACAAAATTTGGCTTTAATCCACCAGATAACTTTGCCTAATTTTGTGGAGCTGTTGTGTTGTACTGTCACCTCTGCCACTTTAGCTCTTCTTTTCATCCTTGTTTCCATGCCTGTGTCAGAAACCCAATCTCAATAGTTGGTCTTATTTATTTTTTTTACTGAGTGAAAGTTTAGTTATATTCATTCAACTATTTCAATCATATACAAGTATCACCATCTTCTTCTTTTAGATCATTTCTACCACCTTTCACATGAATGAAGACATTGTACTTGATTATTTGCAGAATTTTGACATGAATGTGTATGGAAAAACACCTCTGAAGTTCAATTTTAGTCCTCATTGTTCCTTAAGAAAGATGCTGGTATTCACAGCCACTTCACATTTTCTTCTTACAAATTCTTGTGACTTGATATGTTTAGATGTGGCAAAAGAATCCCTTCAATTTTATAAGCCAGTATAATAGTCATCCTGGAATCCCCAGAGCTTGTTCAAGAATTTTCCAACTATCCTAAATTTGAGTCTCTCAATCATTTATGTTATAATGCTTGATTAATATAAATCTCATCCTGTTTTGAGATATTTTCATGCTGGAGGTAAGTGATGTGAATATTTAAAAAGCTTGATATTAATGATCACTTCTGGAAGCGGTTATTAGCATCCCCTGGTGTAAGATTTGTTTACTAGGTTAAATTTCACCCGTAAGAAGGAGCCTGGTTGTAGTATAGGGAATTAAACAATTGAAATGATCTGCATTGACTTTTTATTTCTTTCTTTTATTTGTTTCTGAATGTATGTTCCAATATTCTTGGGAAAGAAAGGGTCTCGATTGTCTTTGCAGTAACTGATTACAGCATCTCCTGGTCATGGAATTCTGTCACCACATGAAATTGTGCAGATATTCCTGATAAATAAAAGGCTGACAATTAGCTATTTAAGGCTTGGTTTCTACTGGGTAAACAGAATGACATCCTTGACATTTCCTTTCCCATACAGATTGTGCAGTCTGTGGAAAGTGCAGCAGATACGATGCAGGAACATCCATTAGCATTACTTGCAGAAGAGACCAAGAAACTTTTGAAGAAAGATTCTACTGTTTACATGCCAATTCTATCTCATTGGGATCGCCATGCAACTCTCGTTTCAGCATCTCTTCTACATAAGCTTTATGGTAACAAATTGGTAAGCTTATTTAAAGTTAGAATGTGATATTTGTAAGTCAAACCTCTCTCTCAAAAATATTGTTCCACATACAATAAGGAATACTTGATAATCTATGGAACTTACTGAAACGTTTTGTCTTCAGAAACCATTTCTTGATGGTGCGGAACATCTCACAGAGGATGTTGTATCTGTATTTCCAGCAGCTGATAGCCTTGAGCAGTATATAATGGCAGTTATGACTTCTGCATGTGAAGAGGAAACTGTAGATGCCTACTGTAGGGAGAAATTAACTCCATACAAGGTGGTTTTACTTCCTAATGTTTGCTGGGATTTTCTTTTTTTCTGGAATAAATCTTTTTACATGCCATCATTTTTTTTCTTTTAGTTTTTTCAGGTAACATGTATATAATTGTTAAGGGTTGATGGAATTTCCTTTGCCAACCATAGTTGTTAAAGCGCCAAGGTGATCCTAGGTGATAGGGGAATCCCTTGTCATCTAGTCAATGGATTTATTTATTTTTTTCAAACAAAAGACCTAAATCCTAGGTAATTCCTTAGGTTTCGTAGCAACTGGCAACCTAAATCCTAGGTAACTCCTTAAGTTTTGTAGCAACCAGCAATCTGTTATGGGCCAGGGCATAGGATCTCGTTGCGGGTCGGTCCACGGGGAGAACCTCTAGCTTCCCCTTGCCCCTCCCTTTGCGTGCAGACCCTATTGTGGCAACCTGATAGGTGATTTGTCCAAGAGATCACCCGAACTCTCCTTACTCTTCCCTTGACTGAAAAACTGAATGCCTTTATTCCGAATTCACAGCTCCTTAAATAGGAGATTACAAGAGGTGACTCCTTATTGAATTCGACTAGGCTAAGATAATTCAACTTTAAATCAAACTCCTACTTCTAATAGGCAAACAAACTCCTACTAAGAACAGAACTTAACTCCTATTTCTAATAGATAAAGTAAGAATAGATGGGATAAGGTAAGCTGGTGGAGAGCTAAGCTGTCGTGTTGGCCCCTCCTCATTGCTGCTGCCGGCGGCGGTATGTCTTTCCCACGAATGCATCCATAACATCACACCCCTCCCGGGCAACGAGCTTGTCCCCAAGCTCGAGATCTGGATAGGCGTTGTGAAGATCAGACCAGGGGATCCAGGTGGCCTCAGTTGATGGTAGTTCGTCCCACTCCACTAGGACTTCTAAGGTACCCCGATTGACGTGGGACCGGACAAGAGCTCGAGGTTGGAGAATGGGCCTGCCGTCCTTTTAGGGTGGTAGGGGAGGTACCTTATCAGGAGGAGTCCCTGTAAATGGCTTGAGTAAGGACATGTGGAAGGTATCATGGAGTCTGCTGTGTTCTGGTAGCTCGAGTTGATATGCAACCTTCCGATCTGCCGTAAAATCTTGAAGGGCCCGTAGAATTTGGGAGCCAGTTTAGGGAAAGCTCTGCGTCTGAGGGAGTGCTGCCGATAGGGTTGGAGCTTCAGCCATACGAACTGTCCGGGTTCAAAGGTTAATTCTTTGTGGCGCTGCACGTGTTCTACCCACGACTTGCTATAGACTAGGATGTCAACAAAGAATACCAAGACAAATCTGCGGAGGTGGGAGTGAAATACCTCGTTCATCAGGGACTGGAACGTGGAAGGTGCGTTGCTGAGGCTGAATGGCATAACTAGGAATTCAAAATGGCCATGATGTGTTCTGAAGGCCGTTTTCTCTATATCTTCGGGAGTCATCCGGACCTGGAAGTAACCCGACCGGAGGTCTAATTTTGAGAAGTATTGGGCGCCAAGGAGTTTGTCCAATAGCTCATCTACGATGGGGATAGGAAATTTATCCTTGACCGTCCGACTGTTAAGCTCTTTGTAGTCCACTCAAAATCTCCAAGTCCCATCTTGCTTGGGTACCAACAGAACCGGAGAGAAGGGGGAGCGGCTGGGACGGATGATCCCCTGCTGTAACATATCCGCACACTGCCTTTCTATTTCATCCTTCTGTCGGTGTGGGTAGCGATAGGGTCGGACGACGACGGGATCTGATCCGGCTATCAAGGGGATCCGATGATCGCAGGCTCTGGACGGTGGGAGCCCCTTGGGTTCTTGGAATACTGCAGAGAAATCCGTGAGAAGCCTCTCCATATCTGTTGCACGCAAGTTCTCACCTTGAAGTGTATGCAACTGCGTCTTTGTTCTTATCCTGGTTCCCTGCCATGTAACCGGTTTTCCATCCAGGTGGAATGTCATTGTCAGGGCGCTGAAATCCCATAGGATTGGCCCTAGAGTGATCAGCCACTTGACTCCCAGGACGATGTCAAATTCATCCAAGGAGAGTACGAATAAATCAGCAAGGAAAGATTCTGATCTGACCTGAATTTTGGTGTCCTTGCAGATACCGGGGCTGTGAACTCTTTCCCCGTTTGCCACGGCTACCTGTAATTGCGGCCTGATTTCCATCGGTAATTCTAACTGGCGGGCAGCTTGTTCACTGACAAAGTTGTGGGTGCTTCCGGAGTCTACGAGAATGCGTACTGGTTTCCTTGCTACCGGCGCCCTTAGTTGCACGGTTTGTGAGGTTTTGATCCCCGTGATTGCGTGGAGGGAGATCTCGGGATCTGATGCTGCAGGTTCATCCTCGTCCTCTTCGGGTTTGTCTACCAGAAGACATAATAGCTTCTTGCAGCTGTGCCCAGAGGAGTACAGATCATCACAGTTGAAGCACTGCCCTCTTGTGCGCCATTCTACCATCTCGGCCCGGGACAGTCATCTAATGGGGGGTGTTGTCTTGCTACTCCCTATACTTGATGCCGATCTGGAAGGGTTACTGGTAGGAGGCTTCTGTTCCTTGCTGGCGGTCGAAGAAGGAGACACTCCTGCTGTCTTCGAAAGTGCCCAGGTCGTTGCTGGCCGACCTATACTGAAGGTTCCGTGGGTGAGCTGCAGTTTCCGTTCGAAGGTGCGTGCGAGGTTCATTGCTGTGACCAGGTTAGGAGGGTGTTGCATCTCCACGTCCACCCTTAGGGGTTCTGCTAACCCCGCGGTGAACATATCTACTTGCTGATCTAGGCATACCGAGGCTGCCCTGGTGAGAAGGGTTTGGAACTGGCATTGGTATTCTGCCACGGTTCCAGTTTGCTTGAGGTTAATTAACTCCCCCAGCGGGTTGTTTGTCAATGGGGGTCCAAACCTGAGGAGGCAATAGGATTTAAATTGTTCCCAACTGAGCCCGGGTTCTTCCTGCTCCAGACGGCAGAACCAAAGTTGTGCCTCTTCCGTTAGGTGGAAGGCGGCCAGACTGACATTGTCTCTGTCGTCAGTGCGCTGGTTACGGAAGAACTGTTCGCAGCGATATAACCATCCTAATGGGTCTTTGGTGCCGTTGTAAGACGGAAATTCTAGCCGACTATACTTGGGAATGACTGCGGCTGTCGGGGCGACGATCTGATATTCGCCGGACGTCTCTGCCCAGTCCAGCCGGCGACTGTTGGTGGTGGCGGTTCCCTCAGAGTTCCTTTCTTTGTTAGAGAAAAACATTTCCAGCAAGCGCCACAGCTTTCGGACATCGTCTTTGACCTCACGAACCTCCATGCTGGTTTTTGCGAGCCTATGCTCCAGTTCTTGGACCCTGGATGATAGCGGCTCTAGATCTCCCATGACGGTAGGCTCTGATACCAAGATGTTATGGGCCCGGGCGTAGGATCTCGTCACGGGTCGGTCCACGGGGAGAACCTCTTTCATGCTCTCAATCTCTTCGGGAGTCTTGGGAGACATACCCTTGGAGAGAGTGACTCCATGCCTAAAAGGAACATTTCCTTTCTTGGAGTTCTCCATGTTGTATCTCTCGACTATTTTGTCAATGTAAGCAGACTGAGATAATCCTATTATCTTCTTCGATCTATCTCTATAGAGTCGAAGACTCAGTATATAGGAGGCTTCTCCAAGATCTTTCATGGAGAATTGCTGTGAAAGCCACACTTTCACCGTAGTTAACATTCCTACATCATTCCCAATGAGTAGAATGTCATCTACATACAGAACCAAGAACGTAACCTTATCCCCACTGGTCTTCCTATAAAAATAGGGCTCATCCGGATTTTGCTCAAAGTCAAGCTGTTTGACGGTNTAGGGCTCATCCGGATTTTGCTCAAAGTCAAGCTGTTTGACGGTAGAGTCAAACCGGATGTTCTAACTCCTAGAAGCTTGCTTAAGTCCATATATGGATCGGTTGAGTTTACATACCATGTGTTCCTGACCTGCAGCTATGAAACCTTGCGGTTGCTGCATATAGATATCTTCAATAAGATCTCCATTCAGGAACACGGTTTTGACATCCATTTGCCAAATCTTGTAGTCATGGTAAGATGCTACAGCTAGCAGGATCCTAATGGATTTAAGCATGGCCACAGGCGAAAAGGTTTCCTCATAATCGATTCCCTCTTTTACAGTGTACTCTTTTGCCACAAGACGAGCCTTGTAGGTCTCAACTTTACCATCGGAGCCCTTCTTCCTCTTATAGATTCATTTGCAACCAATTGCCTTTACACTAGGGGGCGGATCTACTAGAGTCTAGACTCCACTGGTCTCCCTTGAATCCATCTCAACTCTTATGGCATCTACCCACTTCAAGGAATCTATGTCCAACATAGCTTCCGTATAAGTCACGGGATCCTCCTCATTGGTCATGGCTTCCACCAAGTAACTTTCTTGGTCATAGCCGTAACGAATTGGAGGCCTGGAAATCCGGGTAGATCTAGGTTGGTTATTTTCTGGAGCTGGTGGGACATCTCCCATTACCCCTAGGCTCTCATCATCAAGAATAACTTCCTAATGATGATTATCCAAGATGTAATCTTCTTCTAAGAAGTGGGCATTTCGACTGCAAAACACCTTTTGCTCTTTTGGATCATAGAATAAGTAACCCACAGAGCCTTTGGGGTAGCCTATAAATAGGAAACGACTGGTCTTGGATTCCAATTTGTCAACACTAGTTCTTTTAACATGTGCCGGACAACCCCAAATTTTCAAGTGTCTCACACTTGGTTTCTTACCGGTCCAAAGCTCATAGGGAGTCTTCAGAACGGATTTGGTTGGAACTCGGTTCAGCACGTATATCGTAGTCTCTAATGCGTAACCCTAAAAGGATGTAGGTAGTTCCGAGTGTACGAGAAGTGATCGGACCATATCCAATAAGGTCCGGTTCCTCTTTTCTGATACACCGTTTAACTGTGGTGTAGCAGGAGGAGCTAGTTTTGATACTATCCCATTGTCCTTTAAGTAGTCCTTGAATTCGTCAAAGAGATACTTGCCA